CCCCCCCCCCCCCCCCCCCAAAAAAAAAAAAATAAAGAACATAGAAAAAAGAAGTTGCTTTTATTGCCATGGAAAACTATTTATATTCGTTGCTATGGACTTGACAAAATAATTTAACAAGCTGATTATCAATGCCCTTTTATGACAAGACTTAAAAGCCTAGTTGCTGTCAATATTTGAAAATACAGTGATACTGTTGCCAATTTCAGACTACTCTCATATGAACTAATGACATAGTCGAACAAATTTTAAAAGTCAGTAAGAATATTTATGGACTTCAGACAACTATACAGGCCGAATAAGCTAGAAGTCAAAAGTACTTCACTGTGACTTGGAACCCCTTATTTTTCTGTCCAAAAGTTGGTTCCGCACAGGAACAAGAAACACAATTCCAGGAAATATAAACTGTCAACTGTCAAGTGCAAAAGAAGGCCATTTACCTAATTGGTCCCCATCATCAAGCGTGCTGGGACTTGGGAGGGGTGGACAAGTTAAAAATGAACTCTTACCATTATTTGCTGAAAGTGGCTATTTTTGCATTTGAACCCACAACCCAATGGTCGACAACCAAGCTTATACCACTGCATCATGCAATGGCAAAATTTCTAGTATGTAAAGAAACAATAGCATATTAAGTTGTCAATAGAATACTTCATCAAGATGGAAATTCAGAAGAATGAAGCTCAATATCTCCAATTTCTATTTCTATTCTTCATACTATTGGTACCTATTTTTCGAAGTTCACTGCAAGCAGATCCAACTTTGAAATAATTATTATTTTCAAACCTCTTAAATCAAACTCAGTCTACATTGAGAATGTTCAATCAATAAAGATGCAGACCATTAAATCTTTCGCAACCAGAAATAGAATAGGTGCATAATACAACAGCTTTCATACTGAATCACTAGAAGGCTTTTAATGAAGAGCAACAAAATGAGCAATGCAAGTGGTCATTGACTTTTAGTGATAGATCTATAGACAATATAACATATTAGGGCTGTCTTGTCTGTTAAGGGTCTTGCTATTGCTTATTTTAGTTATTTATGATCAAAATACTTTAGCTACTCCATGACTTCTAAAATATCTTATTTATAAGATTAGTTGTCCCTATTAGTTTCATTTGGTAGAGTTCCTAGACTTCAGAATTCTTCCATTGAGATACAGTCCAGCCTGTTAGAAGGAAAATTGTGGCAAGTTCATCCCTATTTGTTATGGTGTAAGTGATCAATCATTAGGTAGCAATCTCATGGAAGAACCTTGGAAACAAGCTGCCCACAGCCACCAGTATTGAAGAATCCATCTATGAAAGCCAATAAAGAAGAATGAAAATACTAAGATGAACTGAAATATGACTAAAGGCAGGCAGGAAAACTGTCATAAGAAAAGAAAGGCTCGCCATTATTCTCAACAGTTTTGGGTAAAAAATAGGGAAGAAGATTTCTTACCTCAATCCCATATTTATCTCTAAGCAGTTTCTGAACATAGTGAATAACTTGCATCCTCTTGTGTTCAGAAATTATAGTTGGTTGTATGACAAATAGTATCTGTTGGGTAAAATTTTCGGCTGCCAGCCAGCATTCAGCACTAATAGACAATGGGTGTTGATTTGACGAGGAGGAGGAGGATTGTGAATAGGAGGAAGGGTGGGAAAATATATAAGACTTCTGAAAATCTTCCATAGCAGAACAGGTTAAAACTCTCAGTACCCGAAGATATTACTCGAGAATCCTCACAAATTCAATGCCCAGTGATGATTTCAACAATCAACAGCATCAGAAACCTCCAAAATTCAGCATGCAATAATATAACGGCTTCTTGGGAAGACTGAAAGAGCTGTTGGATCTGGTGTTCAAGACAGCCTTACAATACAGAACAAAATTGTGTCGAGATTATCGTCTAGCGGTCATCAACAGATGACTTTCTAAAGAATGCAATTAAAGCAGAAAACTTACTCCAGAGAATGAGACATTGGTAAAGGATCGAGGAACAGCCTGCTGATTTGGTGCTCCAACAGAGGTCCAAGAACACTTTTGGTAAGCTCATGGAATGGCTTCACAAGAAATTCTAACTAAATGAGCTTTATGGAAAGCAACCACAAACCTAAGAACAAATTTTATAAAAAAACCGAAAAATTTATGGAAAATGTGTAAAATTAAGGTTCCTTATTCAAGAAACTAGAGGTGAAAAATACTTCGAAAAGATAGAAGGTAGAAGGATCTCCAGCTTAAGGTGAAAATGGGAGGAAAGGCTCTTTGTGAGCTGATACAGAATGAGGAAAAAAAGTACAGAAGGTGGAATAAACAATGGAAGAAAAGGTAAAGGTTTAGTTCACTCCCCTAAAGAGTTTCAAGGGCATTCCGACAGAGTGAACAAAAAGACAAAAAGGAAGTGAATATTAACACAGAAAGAGCACTATAAGGGAAACATGAAAATGTATATGCCATTGATTAAAGTCTATATAGCCCATGGAAAATCCTTGATTGAGTTTGACCACAAAATAAAGAATGAGAGTAGAGTCTCACTTATCTAAAAGTTGTTGGAGTTTTCCTCCCAATAAAATGAGTTTTTTTTCACTTGCATAAAAAAGGAAGAGTAAAAAAATAATTACAGGATTAGGATTTCTGTTAGAAGAAAACTTGGTTGCATTCCAAATTCACAGCATAGCATGGCTTCCATTAATTACAATCGCTGCATTCGTACCAATTTCATAAATTTCCCTTGTTGATTCTAATAATAATTATATAAGAATTATGAAGATAACTGTGAATTTAATGCCCCTCCCTTTTACTACATCTTGTCATCTTGCTGCCAATAAAATTTAAATGCATAAACTTAAAAGGAATCTCTTGTTACCTGTCATTCCAATACTGAAGCAACTTGTCATCCTTAGATACATACCACAGAGATGTGCAGTTTTTGTATACCATTAGTTGTTTAGGAGAGTCCAACCCATCCAGGGGCCACAGATAAGATCAACCTCTAGAATTTATATATATTCTTTCAATCAAGCACTAAAGTCTAAAGTAATTAATTGATTCCTCAAGTTCACTATGCGCTTACGCGACAATTTCTATTCCTTGTGTAATCTAAAAAAAAAAAATTTAGATACAATCATATACAATTTAATAAAACTCAAAGGTGTTTCTGTGATCTTGTAATGAACTGTTCCCTGAATCATAAGTGACTCTGCTTCAATTAATCGGTTAGTTCAAAGATTCATTGTTAAATTCAAATTGTCCGCTGAATAATTTGATCCAGCATAATCTCTTCAAAAACATGCACAGCAAACTAAGGGAATAGTCTAATGCATAGATGTCAAAGTTGCAGAATCGTGCACACCAATTGAAGAAAGATCCATGAGTCTCACAAGTCTCGAGCAGACTATAACACGTAGTTTATAGTATAATTTTCTTAACGGCTCTTGTGACCATCCAATTTGCTACCGCATCCTTTTAGGCAAGAGTTAAGCCAATTATGCTTATTCGGTGCAGTTGGCATACGAGTATCAGGTTTTTCTAGCTCGAACAACTCTAGGGTCATATGAACACGGTGGGTTCCAGGGCATTTTCTTCCATACTCAAAGATTATAATTGAGATTCTCACATGAAAGATAGTATTGTTTGGCATGTTCCACATTATTAAGTGTTGATATAATCTAGAATTGTGGAAATATAACTACCATATAAAACTAATAGACAATAAATGAGCAATAATTATTATATGGGTCTCATTGTAAATATGAGTGGGGAATCAATTAGGAGATTACATCCATCTTGAATTTGCTAAGTACAATAAATGAAGGATGGTTGCAATCTTGAACAAAAGAAGGATTACAAAAATACAGCCTGTAATCTAAAAGGGGATTACATTAAGTATGAACTTGGAAGTACCTCACTGAATACCTCTGCGGTTTCTTTCTTCTTTTGTGCTTTGTCCTCCCTTTATGAATACGTTTCAATTCTTCACTTTCATTACTGGACCCAAGAACGCGCAATCCCAACATTTTTTCACACACACACGCAGAGAGAGATGGAGAGAGGGAGAGAGAGTTTTGGAAACGAAACCCTAAACCCTCTAGCGGTTACAAATCGTAGTGAATACCCAGAACTTATGAACGTGAATTTGGAAAGAATTTGAAGACAATCTCCTCGATGACCGTTAAAGGAATGTTCTTTCTATCAAATCTATTTATTGTACTTTATGAATAAAAAATAAAATTGAAAACTAGCTAAAAAGTAAAACTTTTTAATTACTTTTTGGTTTTTATTTTTTTTTACTGTTTTAAAAAGGGTTGCAAGGGGGTTTTGGAGATCCTGCCTAGACGAGATCATAAACAGTTGAAACTCGTTTAGTTAGTCTTTTAAAGGAGTCTTAGATCAATATAATTATTATTTAGGAATTAAATTTGAATGATCATTACCAAGACAAATTTACAAGGACCCTATCTTATTACTAGACCACTAAACTTTGTGGTACTTTTTATTTTGCGCTAACCAATATAAGACATTTAAGAATTTGTATATCTTTATTAAACAAATCAAGAAAAAAGAAAAAATTTACAACTAATAATATTTTTTAATATAATACTGAATATTTGTACTATTTATAAATGTTAATATCTATAAAAGAAATTTAATTTTTTAATTTTTATTTAATTATTATATTAAAGTCAATTATATTCACCTATATATTTTCATTTAATTTTTATTTTTTCCTCTTATTTGAATTTCAACTTATTTTGAATTTTTTTATAAAAATTTATAAACTCTTTTGAACTTATTTATTAGTAGTACAGTTACATACAATTTTTTATATCTATACGAAGAAGTAAAATCATATATATGTTAAATTATTATACATGTGTAATGCTAGTTTGAATTTCACGATCATATATATATTATATATTTTTTTAGTATGAAGTAATATAATAATAATAATATAAGCAATCTAATCAATCTATTTAACAAAAAAAAGTTAATAATTTTATAACATAATTAGATATACAAATGATTAAATTGAATAGAGAAATACATAAATAAATGACAGATTGGTTATTTAAATAATAGAATAAATGAATAGTTAAATTTAGTAATAATTAAAATATAAATTAATTATTCAACACTTCATTTATTTTTTAATTTAATTACTCATATAATTAAAATTTTTTATAAAAAATATTATTTAAATTTTTTTAGGTGCAACGCACGACTATGCTTTGCTAGTATATATAAAAGTCTGTCTAGGCCTGCCCATAAAGGCCCACCTGTAGAGTGACAGGGTTAAGTTGTGAAGTAGTCTACTCTTATCTGAAGTTAGTCTGATCCACTCGATAACTCACTTGAATAAAATTTTATAAGTATTTGTCCAAACTCAATTTAAAAAACAATTCACGGACCTAGGCCGGCCAGGCCAAGCCCATGATCACTCCTAGTTTCAATTATTTAAGTTTCTTTTATTAGTGTTTTCTATGAATTTTTATATTTTGTTTATTTTTTATTTCTAAAGTACAAATAATTTTATGAAAACTTAGAATACTATATTATCGATAAATTATTAGCCACCCCTGATAGAGTATTATAAATTTATAACAAATATATTTTTCAAAATTAAAATATATTATCGAATCAATAATTTTATTAAATTTTTTAGTGTGATATATTAATTCAATAATTTTTATTATTTTGATAAATTAATTCGATAAAAATATTTTTGATAAGCAGCACATCTTTTGTCTAACAGATTTCGCCAAAACAAAGAAAAGCCCACCCAACCACTTCCCGCCATGTTTTCTCTCTCTCCTAAGCCCTTGTCGTCTTACTCCTCCCTTCGCAAAACCCTAAACCCAGACCCCAAAAACCCCAAAGCAAAACCCTTCATTTTCCACCATAATCCCTCTTACATCACTTCCACACCGAAACCCAGTTGCCAATCCGAAATCCAGACCGAAAGGGGTCTTGAATTCGACACCGGAGACACCTTCTTCCGCCATGAAAGCGCCACCGGCCGTGACCTCGGCGTTCTCGCCGCAGCCCTGTACAAGAAATCCCAGAACAGTATTCGGGTTCTTGACGCAATGTGTGGATGTGGAATTCGTTCTCTTCGGTACTTGGCCGAGGCAAATGCTGATTTTGTGTTGGCAAATGATGCTAACGACGAGTATGGGAGTATTATTTCGTCGAATTTATCGAAAATTTCGAGGGGTTTTGGGGGAGAGACGAGGTGGTTGGTCACACATTCGGATGCGGGTCGGGTAATGACGGAGTGTTATTTGCGAAGGGATTATTTTGATCTTGTTGACGTTGATTCTTTTGGGAGTGACTCGGATTTCTTGAGGTCTGCTATTGGTGCTGTGAAGTTGGGTGGGTTGATGTATATTACTAACACTGATGGGTACTCTGCTGGCGGTCATCGGCCTCATCAGTGAGTTTTGCGTCACATTACTATCTATCTTTCTTTTTTTCTCTGGAATTTGATCACATTATATTTGCTTATTTGCCTCATAGAGTAGTTGTTATGTTAACCGATCAGCCAATTTGCAGCCGTTGAATAAATTTTGGATAAATCTTTATACGATAATTTTCACTAACAAATGCTCAAGGAGAGGAGCCAAGGACACTCCTGAAAAAATGGAATTGCGATGTTCATGACTTGAAGGATTTGAGTGCAAAGGGTTCTTATGATGTAGCTTGGTTTATGTAGTTAGCATTTATAGTTGATATATATAGCAATTGTGCTAATGTCTGATTGTTTTGCTCGATTGCATATTATAATTGGAGATATTTTGTGTTATTCTAGTGCTTTAGCTGCCTACGGAGCATATGTTCGCCCCATGCCATTTGCCAATGAGCTTGGTTTGCGAATGCTTATAGGTGGGGCAGTGCGAGAAGCGTCTGTACTAGGTTATCATGTTGTACCACTTTTCTCCTACTACTCGTACCATGGACCGGTGTTCAGGGTTTTGCTTCAAGTGAACCGAGGAAAACTTCCCAGTAGCAGGTGATCGTTGGTTCTGACACTGTTCAAAACACATGGATTTAGTTGACGTCTTCTTGATTACGTATACTTAGCTGCACTGTTTGTAACAGACATTACAGTTTCATTGGCTATTGCATCGAGTGTGGAAATTCTCAAGAGTTTTCATGGACAGGACTAGGTCAGATCAGTTGCCCTTGCAATACAAATGTATGTCGTCATCCTTTTGTTCTTTGCTTTCACACAAAGTAAATCCAGAGCTTCAGATGTATTTATTGATATCTTGGACCAATTAACATCATATGGAGTACTTCCATGGTACTCACGTTTCCTAGTTCACCAACCTTTTGCCTTGTTGTTGATTCTTTGAACTCTGTGCATTCACTGCCATCTTTATATAGTTAATGGATAATTGTTGATTAGTCAATGAGAAAGTAAGAAAAAAATAGAGAAAACCTATTGATCCCTGACCTTGTTTGGTCACCATGATTAATTCCACGTTACTTGGAAAATCAGTCATTAGAAGAAATTCTAAGTTTGCGTTATTTATTTTCAGGTTCCCAATTCGCTTGTTGTTTCAGGGCCTCTTTGGACGGGACCTCTTCACAGTGCAACCTATGTTACCGAAATGCAAAATTTGGCTGAACAATGGGGATGGATAGGCAATGGTATGGGAAAAGATCTTGAAAAACTATTAAATTTGATGATCGATGAAAGTGACCCCAGATTACCATCGGGATACATCAAGTTGGACGAGGTTCTTGTTAAATTTGTATAGCTTCATGTTTTAGCTTCTAGATTTCAGTGGGATTTAATCATCAAATTGTAGCTTGTGCCATATTTTAGTGGTATCTTTGCTTAGTTTTTCTCTATAACTCTTTCAGGTAGCAAGCCGTGCGAAAGTGAATTCTCCTCCACTCACGACCTTCATGAGCACCATCCACAAGGTACTATCTACTCTAGAGTAGTACTTGTAATCTACTTGAGAATATCCTCAATTTTGACGATTCAGAAATTTGACCATCCGTTGTGTATGAATTTTCTGCCTTACTAATCATGATGCCAAACCATAGGGAAATGGATTTTGAAAAACTCAAAAATAGAGTTGCGCTGATTGAACTTCTTCTTTATACTACCTGCGATTAGTTTTCCTGGTTCCATTGTTTCCTTAGCTGGTTATACTTTGAAATTTTACATTTAGAATCTGTTTTTAGCACATAATTTTGGTGGTTATGGTTCCAGGAGGGATATGCTGCTAGTAGATCACACATTGCCTCCAACGCGATTAAGACAAACTGCCCCATGGTAGAATGTATTAGGATTGCAAAGGATCTCCGACACTGATGAATGATTCTTGGGCAAATTGGCTGTGTTAATAAAAGTGAGTGGCTGTGAAAGCTGCCGTGCAAGTCTCAACCCTGGCCGGAAAAAAGAACATGCTAGTCTTGTGCAGGCTTGAAATGGGCTCGCTGGCGTATCACTCTGTTCAAAGAGATGGGATGAAAGCTGAAACCTGAGACGTGCACATTTAACTGCATTGGTGGTGCCAGAACTACAACATTAACCTAATCGAATTCTAGGCATCCTGCAATAGGCTCATAAGCTGGGAAATTTGTGAATTTTGCAAGAGACTGCTAGCAACCTTGGCGGGGATAAAAAGCTTAAATCTCATTTGTTGTAAAAACACCAAGCGCGTATGGCCATTTGCTATTTTTTAAAATTTGGGTCCACAAGTTGCCCTTCTTACACGATATAAGTAGCGATGAATCTTTTGATTTGATACAGGATTACCAAAGATGATTACACCAATATTGGGTTCTGCAAAACTTACACCACCTTCACAACACGCATTATGGAAACATGACATAATCGATGCATTTAAAAGTCCATAACATAATAGTTTAACAATTTGAATACACAAGAACAAAGGGGAAATGTTTACACACGGTAGGAGTTAGGATCGTTAGGATAACCAGAGATTTACATAGTTTATTTAGTTTCCATACAAGGAAAAACAAGTGCAAGCAAACCCATAGTACAGTAGGGGACTCCTCATCTTCTTCATGTATAGCCGTTCTTCTTTCTGTCTAAAACTTGACAGCTAAGCCCATTCTTGAGGGTAGTGAATTCTTCATTGAGGGCACTCTTTCTCATAAACTTCACTGGCATATTTCCAGTTTATGACTTTCCATATGTTGTTCAAGTAATCTGGTCTAACATTTTTGTACTGCATCGTGAAAATAAGTGTATGTATCAATTTGCATGTAAAAAAAGAGAAGATTGTAACGACAACAGCCGATAAACAAGCCAATGTCTGATGCAATGATAAAGAATTTCTGGAAGCACTTTTTTTTTTTTTCTTGATGAACCCATATAAGGGGATACATGTAAATACAATTTTTGTATGGCAGCACTTTTTACATGCAAGCATGATTCATTAAAAGCTATTCAAGACACAACATGAAATCTTACTAGGTTCAAATTGAATGGTTCATCAGTGCCCAATTGCCACCAAAAAATAGTTAAATAGATGAAATATCATAAAGATCCCATATGCTCGTTCATTCATTCATGTCATTATCAAAAACTCATGAAAAGGGGATAAGAGGTGTGGGTGGTAAAAGATTGACCTTATTTTTGCCTTTTCAAATTGTTCTAACTTTACGACAAAAAAAAATAAAAAATTGTTCCAACTTAATATAATGAAACAACCAAATATTAGCCACATGCACAGTGCANTCATTTGTTGTAAAAACACCAAGCGCGTATGGCCATTTGCTATTTTTTAAAATTTGGGTCCACAAGTTGCCCTTCTTACACGATATAAGTAGCGATGAATCTTTTGATTTGATACAGGATTACCAAAGATGATTACACCAATATTGGGTTCTGCAAAACTTACACCACCTTCACAACACGCATTATGGAAACATGACATAATCGATGCATTTAAAAGTCCATAACATAATAGTTTAACAATTTGAATACACAAGAACAAAGGGGAAATGTTTACACACGGTAGGAGTTAGGATCGTTAGGATAACCAGAGATTTACATAGTTTATTTAGTTTCCATACAAGGAAAAACAAGTGCAAGCAAACCCATAGTACAGTAGGGGACTCCTCATCTTCTTCATGTATAGCCGTTCTTCTTTCTGTCTAAAACTTGACAGCTAAGCCCATTCTTGAGGGTAGTGAATTCTTCATTGAGGGCACTCTTTCTCATAAACTTCACTGGCATATTTCCAGTTTATGACTTTCCATATGTTGTTCAAGTAATCTGGTCTAACATTTTTGTACTGCATCGTGAAAATAAGTGTATGTATCAATTTGCATGTAAAAAAAGAGAAGATTGTAACGACAACAGCCGATAAACAAGCCAATGTCTGATGCAATGATAAAGAATTTCTGGAAGCACTTTTTTTTTTTTTCTTGATGAACCCATATAAGGGGATACATGTAAATACAATTTTTGTATGGCAGCACTTTTTACATGCAAGCATGATTCATTAAAAGCTATTCAAGACACAACATGAAATCTTACTAGGTTCAAATTGAATGGTTCATCAGTGCCCAATTGCCACCAAAAAATAGTTAAATAGATGAAATATCATAAAGATCCCATATGCTCGTTCATTCATTCATGTCATTATCAAAAACTCATGAAAAGGGGATAAGAGGTGTGGGTGGTAAAAGATTGACCTTATTTTTGCCTTTTCAAATTGTTCTAACTTTACGACAAAAAAAAATAAAAAATTGTTCCAACTTAATATAATGAAACAACCAAATATTAGCCACATGCACAGTGCAAAAAAGGTAGACATAAAGAATTACCTGCAAGTAGTATGCGTGTTCCCAAACATCGATGCCAAGCAGAGGAACCAGATTTGGTCCTTTGGTAACTAGTGGATCCTGCAGCAGAGTTCAAGCTATTGTAACTAGGACGATATGAATGTGAAACGGTTCACGGAAAAAAAAATCAATGACCAAGTAAAACAAGGACGTAATTTAGGAACGCAACCAATAGCAAACATGCTGTAAGAAATGATCCAATCCCTAACAAAATAAATGAAGAAAACAAGGGGGTAGGGGTGGGAATCAGAGACTTTGTATCATAATCCCCCGGATATAACGATAAATATTTTTTGTAATAAAACAGATACAATTAAGGAACCCATTCTTAAGCAAATATAAATTCTTAGAGTACTTAACAATGATTCTTTCTTTTTTTGAAGCATAACAGATTATGTCACTACAGAGTCAAAAAGTAGTTATTTAACATGCAACCTTGTCACATGATCCATAAATATTAAGACAGCATGAGCTGAGCAATTCCAGCAGGAGTGGGCAGAATCAATGTTAAGTGCCTAACTTAGGATGCCATATGCCCATTGTTTGGTAATTTGATGAAAAATCTTGCGTAGGTTACCTGATTTGCAGTGGTTTCAATCAAAGGCCTTTTCAATTCTTTGTCCAAACCAAGCCACTGCCAAGTCAGAAACAAATAACATAGATAGAAACCCAGAAAACCAAAAGCATCATATTCTGAGACATTCAGGAAAATAATACCTAGTAGAATATATGAAAACGTATAATAAATAAACAGGATACAGAAATTACCACCCATCCAGAGCCCTGTAAAGCAGCGGCTTCTGCATTCATCTTTTGTATCAATGATTCCAAAGAACCATAGTGTACGTCAATAGCCCAACCCAAGGAGCCCTTAGGAGGCTCACCACCTCCTTCCTGGATGTATTTGAAATATAAGTCCACATTAAGGTTATAAATTAAATGAAATAGCATAACAAGCAACAGCAGGAAGGCTAAAAGAAAAAAGCTTACATGAATAGGGGCAAGATTCTTCCAGAAAATGGAATGATTGATATGACCTGCTTGAAAACATCATTCACATTAAATCAAACATTTCCTACGCCAAGAATTAGACATAAAGCATGATGTTAACGATTAGATAGATAATCCCAGAACAGAATGAAATATATTTGACCACATAGCTGACAACTACAGCAAAGTCCACACCAAAGTCCACGCTACCAGTGAAATATCAACTTGATCATAAAGTAGGCAAAAGATCTTCCACATAAAGATGCACCATGCCAGCTTTGTGTACATATGTACATGCAGCATTAAAAACATTTAATTCAACTAAAATTTCATTTTTACACGTGTTGAATTAATACAACAACCCTCTCCACAGCATTGCAGATGATAATGATTAGATTATATACTTTTAGCATCCGTCAATTGGTTTAAGCTAAACATTAACATTTTTTCCTCCTGTAATTGCCTCTGTAACTCTGTTCCAACAAATACTCCTAAGCTGAGTTAATGGATTCCCTTTTGCCTTACTGCTCGTTAATCAATAGAAAAGCAAAGTTTGGTCATTATAAACTCAATTTTGACCCCTGATCGTAAATAACCACCTTATATCATCAACTGTGCAGCCAATTCCCATTTAGATGTCTCTGAAAGACTTCACTTCACCATTTCCATAATTAGATTCTGCAATATAAAAAAAGACATGGCGATTTCTGAACACATGTAATGATACATTTCCTTGACTTGGTAGCAATCAATAGATTTGTGCACATTCGCTGAACTCAAATGTTGTTCCAACATTAACGAATCCAGAAATGCATCAGATTATTTTTTCATTCGCTAAGAACAGCTATTCTAGGTCAATTCAGGTACTAAAAACACAAATGCTAATTGGAGATATTAATCAGAAAAAAAAGTAGAGAAAAGCAACAGCAGTCTTGTATAACAAAATGTGGCCACATATTGAAGCTGTATGGACACCATATGTAAATCGAAACATTAAAGAGAGAGAGAGAGAGACAGAATTGAACCTCCGCCATTAAATTTGATGGCGCTTTGCAATTTGACGACGGAGGAAATATCGCCCTTGGCCATGGCGTGATCGAGCTGCTCTAAAGCTTTGTTGAAGTTTGTTACGTAAGCCTGATGGTGCTTCTGGTGGTGGAGCTGCATGATCTCTCCGCTAATGGCAGGCTCAAGAGTACCATAGTCGTACGGAAGATCGGGAAGCGAGACGGTCTTCAAGCCGCGGTATTGTTGCTGAAATCGTAGCCCTAGTTTGCCTTTGATATTCCTTGTCGCGAGGGTTCGAAGAGCCATTTTGGAGAGATCTTAGTGTTGCTATAGAGATGAAAGGAAATATGCAAGATAGGGTATGATTTTTTTTTTTTTTTTGAGAATAAGATTGGGTATGTATATAGTGAGGTTGGTGGTTGGTTTAGCTTGAGAATCCATGGGCGGAATGCGGATATGCGACCACAGAGTAGTAGTCTGTTTTCCTTGCATGTAACGAGAGGACGGGGACGGGGAGGAGTTGTGTGCTGGGTTCACGAAAAAAGTTGGGGTGGGCACACGTGGTTTTTGTCATCTAAATCTTTTGTTTAAAGTGACAACTGAGGTGGAACTCCTTTTCTGGACGTTACCGTATCAATCCGAATCTATGAGGGAATATCTATTATTGGGGCTAGACATAGGCCTCGGCCCTCGGCAACGAGCCCGGTTCGCCTCGGAGTTTTTCAGCCCATAGCACACTCGTAAGCTCGGCCTCTCTGATCTTTGATTAGTCAACGGATTGGAATGGGCTCGTTCGTTAGAAATTTTTAAGGCCCATAGCTCGTCCATGGGCAGCCTATTGGGCTAAAAAAGGGCTAAATATGGGACAGGCCGTATGGGCCATCCATTAGGCCTGAAATTGATTTTTTATTAAAAAAATACTTTTTATGTAAAAAAAATTATTTTTTTATAAAAATTAAGAAAAAAAAGACTTCAATTACATGAAGTTGGTATGAAAAAAAAATTATTTATATTGATTGAATTTAACAAATATTCATATGAAATAACAATGTTACATTATAAATTGATTGATAGGTGAAACTATTTTGCATTACTACAAATTGAGTATATCTCAACTAATATGACACCTATACAATTGTCAATCATTTGCAAGTCTTAACTTTTTAAAAGTTCTAGATCAAATATCAAATAAACTATCTATATAATAAGATAGTTATGTTTTTTAACTCACGGGAATATATTTTTTTCCCAAATTTCACACACTTTATCCCCTCCAAATTTCACAAACCCAACACAAACACTCTACAACACACACTCATTATATATACACACACACTCATTATATACACAGTCCAGTTGTACACACACTCTAATAAATGTATAGTGTCATAACTTAGTATATAGTGACTTTAGTTATGGGGTATCGCTAGCACAATTATGAAATATAATCTAATTATTTTTCAATAGATATATTCTATTGAGCTAATGGCTTCTTAACGGGCCGGCCTGCTGGGCCCCCACCCCTAAACATCACGACCTAGGCCCTACTCGTTGGGCTATCAGACTGCCCAAGCCTTGCCACATCTATGAGTTAGGCGGCCCGTTAGTCCGTTGGGTTTCTGGGCTATGGCAGTCCATTGGGCTTTGGAATTTTTGATGAGGCCTAACTAGACAGTCAAAAACATAGGCGGATGCTAACTCGAGTCATAACCTAACTCTCGTACTATAAAACTGCTAGTGAGAGTAGTAGGAGTTCCCGCAAACTGAATCTCGAAGAGAGATCCTTAAAAGAAACACTCTAAAGCCATTGGACCACTAGCTTGGTGTAGGATTATTAAACGATTCAAGCGGCTTGGGCTCGACTCCATTTTTAGCTCTACCTTGGCTCGTTCGTATTTTAAAAAACAATGCTACATGAACTTAAAATATAAATTTGATTAATCATTGTTATTGGTTTCATTGTGAGTTATAATATTTTATTGAGACTCACTACCTATTCAATAATTGTGATTAATCAAATCTACATTTTAAGTCCCAAAAACATTTATCTATTATAAAATAAGTCGAATATGAATAAATTTTTAGACTCGTTTTAGTATTCGAGCCAAACCAAGCCGAGTTTGAGCTATTCGCAAGATAACTCGTTTTTTTTTTCTACTTGTACATAATATTGTTTATACCCAAAAATAGTAAAATTTGAGGGTAACACTTGGAGGAGATCCAATGATCATGAAAGAGTTTGTAAGAGTCTATACTTGACAGAACGATTAAGAAAGTGGGACTTTAATATTCCTGAGAAGCAAAGGGATGCGATATCATGAGTTACTAGTTAGAGTCAGTTCATCACACGACTTGAGAAAAATTGTCATGATTACAGTTATGACAAAAAAAAATGACTTCGACGATTGAAAGTCATCCCTATAAATAACCAAGGTAAGGTTACAGAGAATAGATCAACGATCAAACACAATAAACTTTATATATAGTCAGTCTCTCTTTCCTATTTATTTGTTTTCTAAGTAATTTTACTCTTTCCTGTGTTTCCGTCACTCCAGTGATCTTTATAGCTTTAATTTCATGTCAAGTACGGTGTTTGTTTCGTCTTTCAAACTTAGTTTATCTGTTACTTTCTATTCTAGTTTTTTTTTTTACGTTTCAATCCATTATACTATTATTTGAGAAATTATTTAAAGTCCTTAAACCCTAAAGCATTAAAAAGGATTCAAAGGTAATCTTACTCTTTGTTACAATCGTTTAAACGGTCACAATTTTAGAATTTCACATCAAATCGATTAGGTAAGGTCATAAATGTTTAGATCTCAAGTCCAATTGAACTTCAGTATACCCATAATCTAAAAATATGTCAAACAACTACACATATAGATTACTACAAATTTAAAGGTTATATGAATATCAGTAAAATATGCAAAAAAAAAGTAGCTAATGTCGGGTCTTTGTCTATCCATCACAAGTTTGTCATGCCAGACTCCTCTCTCTCTCTCCTGTCAATAGTAAAACCTTGAGCTGCTAACCCTTTTTTTCTCTCTTTCACAATGGCACGAACTCTTTCTTTCTCCCCCCTTTTGCTTACCACCACCACGACTTTACCTGATCCAAATCCTAGAAAAGTCATTATCTATGTTCTATTGATCTCTGTTACCAGTTATTAGTTTATACACACACTTATATATATTAAGTTTGTAGATTTTTACCATGATTTAGAGGTATTTTATTATCAGATTTGTGTGTTTTTTTTTAATTGGGTATTTAAAACTTGTGGATTTGAATTTTATTTAATGACTCATTTTTGGCTCAAGCTTGGCTTGAATTCAGTTTGAGCTGTGTTTAAATAATATTTTAAGCTCGATAGATGAATTTGAGTCAAGCTTAAGTAATCCTTAAATAATACGATCCAAACTTGAGTATTATTGAACTCGAAAGACTTGGCTTGATTGTGGCAGGGGCGGAGCTACATGTAAAGGGCACTGAATTTTCAGGAAAAATTTGTGTATTGTTATAGGTTCAAAACTTTAAAGAATGTTGCTCTCCTCTCAATAATTCAAAAGTCTATATGTTGTGCTCATAAATTTTTAATATTTTTGGTAGGTAAGTGGACCCCTCATTCGCTTAATTAATGTACGGTGACACATATTTTAATTGAGTAAAACAAATAAAATACCCTCATGCATACATATTGACCAAAGAAAATAGCGTCTGATTTGATATTGATTTTTTGATTTTCACGTAGTAATTAAGTTTTGGATCGTAATTTTTTTTTTTTTTTTTTTTATATATTTTAGCTTAAGAATTCTTCGTTTGATAATAATCCTCATTAATGGAGGTTCAAAAGATTTTTTTTTTATTCCAATTGGTTAATTTTTTGCTCAAATTTTTGCCCTCACTAATATGGATATTTGACTCTGCCAAGTCATTATCATACAGACTTACAATTAACTTATTTCAATAAAATTATTAAATTTAATTATGATTTTAAATGTTAAATAAAGTTCATTTTTAATCAAGCACTTATAATTAATTAATTCTCTAAATTAGGCCAAAATAATATTTATTAATATATAAATTTATTTCAAAAATAAAACAAAAAATAATTATCAAAGATGATAACAAATTCAAATGTAACGATAATAGTCAATATGATACACGGCAAAATTTAAATATATAAAATTATTTGAAAATAAAAAAATATAAAAAAATTAGTATTTAGAGAGATACAACTTTTCTCGTCTTATCTCATACAATTTGATTGTTAAATATAATAATATAAATTAGTTAAAATTCATATGATATAACAGAAGTTCTTAAAATATAAAGCAAAATAACAATCTGAATTGATTATATCTCTAACAATTAATCTTATAATTTATATTTTAATAATCTATCTAATATTACAGTTAGTAATATTTCAACTTATTTATTTATATTTATTATAATAAAAAATAGAGAGAATTACACTCAAACCTCCTAAAGTTTGTTACTTAATTACTAATACTTTCTAATATTTGAAATTTTACACACAGACCCTTAAAGTTTGTATGCGTATAATACTTAGATCCTTACCATTAATGTCCATCAGTATATTTGTTAGTAGATTACACTTAGATCCCCTAAAATTTGTAGGAGTATAATAGTTATATTTTTCAAGTTTAAAATGTTATATTTACATAAAAAATACTCAAATAAAAAACAGAATATCAAATATTATAAATTTTATAATCAAAATTCATATTTTATTGTATCATTTATTGAGATAAAATCAAAAATCAAAAATTTAATTTTTTTTAAAAAAATTATAATTGGTATATAATTATACTATCGATTGGAATAAAACTAAAAAAAATCAAACAATGGGTCTAAGTCATTTATAATAAAAACATGAATTTTACAACTAAAATTTATGTTTTATTATGTCATTTATTGAAATAAAATCAAAACTAAAAATCTATTTTGAAATAAAACAAAAAATTCAAACAAAGGGTCAAACTTTAATGAACACAATATCTTCTAATTTTAATTGACGTAATTTGGTAGTTTAATTTAGTTGTTTATATGACCAAATTAAATTCCAATAAATAGTATAATTATATACTAATTACGATTTTTATTTTTGATTTTATTTCACTAAATGTCATAATAGAATACGAATATTCGTTATAAAATTTAAAATATTTGATATTCTATCTTTGGTTGAATTATTTTTGATCTAAGTATAATATTTTAAATTTGAGGGGTTTAAGTATTTCACGCCTACAAATTTCAGGGGATTTGAGTATAATTTATTAACAGATATATTAACGGACATTGACGGTAAGGTCTAAGTGTTACGCGCGTATAAATTTTAAAAGGTCTGTATATAATATTTTAAATATTAAAAAATCTGAATAATTAAGTAATTTAAATGATAAATTTCAAGGTATCCCGGTGTAATTCTCCCTAAAAAATAAACACTTGCAGACCTGCAGTAAGAAAACGCCCATTTAAGCTGACATTCGGTACTGAATTTAGAATTAGAATTATATTCGGCCGCTTGGTCATGGGCCAACCTACTGACCATCGACCTTTTGCTGAACTTAATCCGGCCCACTTAACCACCAACCAGAACCGTGTCAAAGTCACCCTAAGAAACACGACGTCGCATTGTTCTTGTAACAACAAGCCTAGGACAAGGCGACCGGATTCGTTATTTCTGCTTACAGCCTTCAAAGTTCTCAGATCAGCAATCCAATCATTACTCTCCATTTGATCGAATTGCGTATTCCATTTTGCGTTTTTGATGCAACGCACTGCGTCAGGTTTGTCTCTCTAATTCTACGATCACGAATTTGTTCTATTCCGAAGTTTTTAGGGTTTATATCGTGTGAATGTGTTAATTTTAACAGAATTTTTGATACTGCAAATGTTTTTGAATTGATTATATTGTTAATTGTTTTGTTTTGTTCTGTTCTTTCATTAGTGGCAATGAAAGTTGATGGGAAGTTTTTAGGGTTTATATCGTGTGAATGTTTAATTTAAACCGTAATTTTTGATACTGCAAATGTTTTTGATTTGAATACATTGTTAATTGTTTTGTTGTGTACTTTCGTTAGTGGCTGGTGAAAGTTGATGGAGAATTCACAAGAGGTTGGTAATATAGAAGGGGATGGAGATGGAAGGAACAATTCGGGTTGTACTTCGTCCACGTCGACGTACTCGCCGTACCGATTGTTTGGTCGGCAAACTTCTGTTCACCAGTTGATGGGTGGAGGTAAAGGTAAGATAATCCGGTTGTCTTTTCTTTTTCTGTCATCTTATATTTTGGGTGTGTTCATACGGTATTCTTTTCTTTTTCTATAATCTCATGTTTTGGGTATGTTCATATAGTACCCATCTACAAGAATAGTTTTTGGTTGGCCTAAGGAGCTTTGAAGTAATTTGTAACGCATGCTATCAAATTGCAAGGCTATTCTTTTTGAAATATTGTCAAATAGGAGGTTTATTGCATGTGTGGTTTTGTTTGTTTGTAAGGTAATGGCCATAGGGAAGCCCTGTCATTTTCTTTTTCTNGTTTTTGGTTGGCCTAAGGAGCTTTGAAGTAATTTGTAACGCATGCTATCAAATTGCTAGGCTATTCTTTTTGAAATATTGTCAAATAGGAGGTTTATTGCATGTGTGGTTTTGTTTTTTTGTAGGGTAATGGCCATAGGGAAGCCCTGTCATTTTCTTTTTCTTTTGGGTTCATTGTTCAAGTGGCAGATAATGTATTTGAAATCTATTGCTTGCTCCTTTGAATCCCTAACTTTACCACGAGGCCTAGGCCCTAGTGACAGTCATTAATTTTGCTTGCCATTTTTGCTCCTGGTCTCTGATAAATGGTTAATTTAAATTGGCTGTGTTTTTGTTCTAGTGCATTAATGGTATATTAGGGAACATGTTCATGTAACCTGCCTACTTTTATACACTATTAACGGCAAAAAATGAGCAGGGAAAAAGAGAGAAAACATTGAAGGGAAGGTTTATTCAGAAGTAATTTTCTTGTTTTCTGCAGTCAATAAAAGATGCTGTCTCATAATTTAGTTTCTTAAAATTCAGTGAACAAATGGACATGGTAATAAATGATCTTGATTCTTGATAATAACCATACCGCTAAGGTTTAAACAAAACAAAATATATAAGTGGAGGACAATATACAAATAGATATATATGTTAAAAGGAAACAAGAACTAAATCAGAAGTAGCTGAAATGTGTGAACTTCAGTGGGAAAAAATATTGACTCAAAACGCATACAGTTCATGCTCTAAAGAGTTCTCTGCCGCCTCCACATCCCCTCTTCTTCCATTTTCTTTTGCTCATTAACTGGAATATCTGTGCTTGGAAAGAACTTGTATTTGTCTTGTGTGTTTGTGTTTGCTATTTTGTGATTTTAACTTTACTCATCATTCATTCTTTTGTTCCTAGCTGCTGATGTTATATTATGGAGGCAGCGGCGTGTTTCATGCGGAGTCATTGTTGTTGCTACTGTTGCATGGTTCCTATTTGAGCAGGCAGGATTGTCATTCTTATCAATTTGTTCCAATGTCTTCCTGATCTTGATTGTACTGCTATTTCTTCAGGCTAACTACGCTGTTTTCAGAAACAAGTATGAATGTTTTATACATTTACCTATTCTATGGATTGATCCATGTTTCCCATTGTTCCAGTGTGGAAATCAGTCCATATGATTGTTTTATTTTTGCACAGACAACTTCACCCATTACCTGAGCTAGTTTTGTCAGAAGAAATGGTCAATAATGCTGCTGCATCATTTCGAGTTAAAATCAACTACCTGCTGCTTATGGCTCATGATATCACTGTTGGCAAAGACTTTAAACTCTTTTTCAAGGTTAGTAGTCATCAGCTGAATAAGGATGAATGAGGTATGAGGCATTTGTTCACTGAATAAGTGTATGTCTGTTTTTTTTTTTTTTTGGGTAAACTTCATCCAGGGACACCCTCTCGATTATCTGAAATTTCATTGCATCTTCTTCTAGTTCATATACTCTCTTCAACCACACCCCTTGCCATGATGAACCATTACTAACAACTGAAAATAGCTGATGTCATCTACTTCTTTTTTCAAAAATTCCAATTTTACCCTCACCATCTTCACAGTGCACAGCTACTCCTTCATTCATATCTTTCCTCCATTCACACGCACCACTACGCAACGCTACCACACACCTCCACCCCAAACCATGACACAGTGTCATTGTACAACACTAAGCACTACCCAATTCAACAAATCAAAATTAAAAACATCATATTCAAACCAATTTTTTTATTGATTTCATCTAATTTTTTTCTTGATGAATTATTCTGTTAAACAATTATGTAAATTGCTACAATAATAGTGTCAATTCCAATTTCTTTAATTTCTCTACTATTAGGTCATTTTTGCTTCTACAATAATAGTGTCAATTCCAATTTCTTTGGCAGTGGAATTTGTAGTTGGTGATTTACGGGTTTGTTGGGTATTAGCCATAGGATTGTGGAATCACGACAAATTGAAGATCTGATGAGGTGAAATTAGACAACAAAATNTAGTCCATATGATTGTTTTATTTTTGCACAGACAACTTCACCCATTACCTGAGCTAGTTTTGTCAGAAGAAATGGTCAATAATGCTGCTGCATCATTTCGAGTTAAAATCAACTACCTGCTGCTTATGGCTCATGATATCACTGTTGGCAAAGACTTTAAACTCTTTTTCAAGGTTAGTAGTCATCAGCTGAATAAGGATGAATGAGGTATGAGGCATTTGTTCACTGAATAAGTGTATGTCTGTTTTTTTTTTTTTTTGGGTAAACTTCATCCAGGGACACCCTCTCGATTATCTGAAATTTCATTGCATCTTCTTCTAGTTCATATACTCTCTTCAACCACACCCCTTGCCATGATGAACCATTACTAACAACTGAAAATAGCTGATGTCATCTACTTCTTTTTTCAAAAATTCCAATTTTACCCTCACCATCTTCACAGTGCACAGCTACTCCTTCATTCATATCTTTCCTCCATTCACACGCACCACTACGCAACGCTACCACACACCTCCACCCCAAACCATGACACAGTGTCATTGTACAACACTAAGCACTACCCAATTCAACAAATCAAAATTAAAAACATCATATTCAAACCAATTTTTTTATTGATTTCATCTAATTTTTTTCTTGATGAATTATTCTGTTAAACAATTATGTAAATTGCTACAATAATAGTGTCAATTCCAATTTCTTTAATTTCTCTACGTTTAGGTCATTTTTGCTTCTACAATAATAGTGTCAATTCCAATTTCTTTGGCAGTGGAATTTGTAGTTGGTGATTCACGGGTTTGTTGGGTATTAGANCTCCGATGCTTCATGTTTGCAGAAAAGTGCCTCATTTGGTAACCCATTTTAGAGCCTTGGAGGCTGCACTGCAAAATTGTACTGGACGCTGGAATAGAAAACTGGTTTTCTTTTCTTTTCTTTGGTGGGTCCGTCTATAATGAATATGTTGTATGTGTAATGTATGTATTCATGCGAATTGAGATATCCAGTGGTTCATAACTACACAATGTCATTTTACATTCTTCTTTTGATTCACAGCCCCGATTCCCTGTTTTACTTCATTTTTTAACAGAACATAATTATTTAGAACAGGAACAATCCAGTGAAGAGAATTGATGAAAAATTTTGGAGGCTGCTTGGACATTTTTGAAAAAGGAACCATTACCCTTTCAGGGTTTTGGGAAAACTTAAATCGTTTGATTAGATCTGAAGTCCATTACTTAATCCTGCTAAGCCATCAGTTAAAGTTGGTCACAACAAGCCATCCCTTTTTTTTGGCTTGATGATAAGCTTGCTTTCTTTTTAGCCAAAGTCGGTTGGATGGCCCTCCACCCCGGAATGTTGAAAGAAGTAGGTGGCCTGGTTCTCTTTCTACAACCTTTTTGATAGGACCGTCCCCTATCCCTTATTTTTTGGAGTAGGGTCTGCCCAAAAAGACCATTCTTGGGGTGGTACGGAAGGCACGGACTCCATTACACCCCCTTTACTAATAACTGAAAGGAAGCTCCAACCAAAACAACAGTTCTTTTGGGTGCCAATGGGTGCCAATGTAGCCAAGTGTCTAATTTGTGAATTGTGACTTGCTGTTGACCTCACGGAATTTTGTTGACAGTCTTAGGCATAGACTTGCTTTTAAGATCCCAAGCTTAGTGCGTTTTCTTACATTTTCTCGTTCTGAACTTATGACAGGAATTATCATCTCCATTACAGTTCCTGCCCTGTACAGCAAATATGAAGACCAGGTGGATCGATATGCTGGTTTGATCCACCGAAAATTTTCAAAGCACTACAAAATTGTGGATGAGAACTTTATGAGCCGAATCCCAAGGAGTTTGTCAAAGGACAAAGATTCATAAATCTAGCATCTCATCCCACCTACAGGATACAGATCAAAAGCCCAATTCTGGCTGTAGTTTGAGTAGTGACCGTTTCTTGTTCTCTTGGCTGTACCCATCTGGATGAACTCTCCTGATTCTTTCTTCTCTTGGCTGTACCTATCTGGATGAACTTCTCCTGTTCTTTATGCTCCATTCTACTTTAAGTTGTGATGCATTTTTGAAGATACTTCAAATGTTGCTGGGAATTTTCTTGAAGTCATTTGTCAGTAAAAAGTCGAATGCTAAAAAGCTACAGATTTTACAATGGTTTATTTTCTAATAACCTCAGCAAGTCAATAGTTGCAACAGTGGTTTATGTACACAAGTTAAGGTGTTAGACACCATAACTACTGATAATACAGTTAGGAAAAATGGAAAAAAAAAAAACGACAAAGGAAGAAATGTTACAGTCATGGGTTGTACATGGTGGAACGGTATAGATTGCCTCAAAATACATGCATGTTTGTGCATTTTTCAATCCAGATTAGGGGCACCTTCCTCTCTAATTTTAGGTAAGAGCAAGCTTTCCAAGAGGTGCAAGATGCATCATTTTTAATAAAAAGATAACACTAAACAGTATCAATCTGTTATTTTGCAATAGGGGCTATATCAGTCTACTGGACAATAGTTTCCCGTCCATAGACTGGACTACGCTAGAACTGCACATCTCAATGACGACATATAATAGAGATATTAACAGCACAAATTGGGAAATTCCATACACTGCATTCTGCCTCTTAATACATATCAGGCAACAGGTAGCCACATCCCTGCCCTATTACACATTCGTAATGCTAATTTTGTAGCAATTCCTTGGCTTTGTCTAACCAAACATTGTAAATATCATCTGCGAAAAGGACAAAGTGCACCTGCCAGCACAACATAACGTGTAAATGCAAATATATATACTTTTACGCATAGCTGCGTGTGGTTAGAAAAAAGATTGTACGACTCATTAATATTTTGCAAGTAAACTGGGTTGATGGCTGATAAGCCAGCATGCTATTATTTCAAATTCAACTACTAAATCTGAGAACACTCCCAAACCCCATTCAACGGACGGGGTAGCACAAAAGATGAAGAATGTAACACATAACCATGAAGGTTTGTCCCAAAAAAGGATATTGGATTATTGCCTGGTACTCTTTAGTTATAGCTAACAAGCCATAATACTTCTGGGTTGTTAGTTTAATTAGCACCTCAACCATTTAAACAAGCCTACATAGGATTGCAACTGTTTACAGTCAGTATCAAGTATTTTTAGATGTACAATACCTCTTTGAAGTCATTGGAAAACTCCCTTATTGAAGATATAGCCACAGTGGCGGCTTCACCATAAGGATACCTGAAAGAATAAGTAAAAGAATTAAACATGCACTGAAGCATGTCATCATCCAGCATGAGAAGACATAGACTTCAGTGTAGCATGTCCTCTAATTGGTTATTTCATGAATCCAAATACTTGGTAAGCGAAAATTTAGGTGACACAGCCACATTGCCAGGATTATCCATCATTTCTTTCTTTTTAGAGAACAGGTAACCAGAAACATCAACTATAATAACCAACTTTTCCTTTGTATCAACTCACCCATAGACACCACATGATATGGCAGTAAATGCTAAGTATTGAACGTTGTTCTCTTTAGCAATGCGTAAACTGTTCCTGTAACAAGTTTACGCACACAGATATATCATTTATGATGGCGAAGTAAAATGGTAACATAAAGGCAAGCAAAAGGTTTACTAACACACCTGTATGCACTTCTCAAAACGGCTTCAGGGTTACTGTGAGCATCATATATGGGCCCAACAGTGTGAATTACATGTGATGTTGGTAACCTAAAACCTCTGCATATGTTCAACAAGTTAAAGAATTGAATTTTATTCTGTAATAGCAAGATTGGATGGCACCCCATGGCCAATATCATAAGTTAATCAAGGAGAACCTACGGGGTAATTCTCGCTTCTCCTGTGGGGCAGCGTACTCCAGGTTGCACTTCTGGGACATTGTAGCATGCTGCCCGTAGCTCTGGGCCAGCAGCTCTATGTATGGCTGAGATATAGACAATCAGACTTAGGGCAGAGTTCAAATGAAAACATATTCAGTAAATAATTACTACAAAATTACCTCCATCAGCACCACCACCTCCAAGCATTCGCTCATTTGCTGGATTGACCTGTGCAAAAAAATCCATCCAAATACCTAATCTCTATAATCTTAAATAGCTTTAAAAGTTTGTAGACTTGGCTAGTGTTATTAAATCCAATTCAAAGTTTGTAGACTTGGATAGTGTTATCAAATCCAAATTCACTTCTTGGAAACACTTCTCAATGCTTATTTAGATTTGATCAGAACACTTGATTTAACATACAAACTGCCATTTGGGTATTCAAATCCAAATTCCAAATCCAGGTTTCCATATTCAATCAAACAATTGCAAAATATGCACCATCCCATACTCTGCAATCAATTAACAGTTGCAAATTATATTCATTTAGAATGCATTTGAACATTCCATGGAAATTGATCGGCTCCATTATGTTCTCCACGATCATTTTTCCGATGCAACAATCCAGACAACATCATGAGAGAGAGAGAGGGAGAGAGGGAGAGGGAGACAGAGAGAGGGAGACAGGGAAAGAGAGGTTTACAATCGCGTCGGTGGAACCATCGACGAACCACCGAGTGATGTCACCCTTCTGAATCTTGAGAGCACTCGACGGAGACAACCAGAAATGACCCGCTGGGAGGTTATCTTCTCCGCCGTTGGACATGGTCGAAACCCTAGCAGCACTAGATCCCCCACCATTAGCGACACTACTGCTCTGATCCATCTTTGAAATTACCGAAAAGAGTCTGGTTAGGGTTTGAGGAAAAGCTTGGAGTGGTGGGTAATGGAGGTTTCTAGGGCTTTGAGGAGAGAGAAGACTGAGGAATCGAGCTCCGACTCTCGTCATGTGTTTGACTTAGTCGTCGTGAGTGTGATTGCCTTGCACGTACGAAGAGGGTGAGCCCGATAAGGTGTATTGCTGGTTAGGTTAAACACAGTACAGTTAACACGTGTTGCAAGATAATTGCCTAATAGGTTTTAAGGAAAATTCTGATGTTATCTAATATTGCTGTTGACCAGTCAAATTTTCGGAACATTTTAGGGAACTCTAAGCCTGATGTATGTTAGTATTTCTCTCAAAAAATATAAGAGCTCCCCCAATGCAATGTTTGATAAAACAGTTGAATATTGAAAATTAAATCCTGAATTTTTTAATTCATAGATTTTTTGTTGTTAATTAAAATTTAAGTATTGAATTTAATTAAACTGTTTAACAAATATAAGAAACTAAAATGTAAAAATTATTATTATTTTAATTTTACTTTTCTTTTTTATCATCTCTCTGCAACTGTTTTATTTCTATGATTCTATCACCACATCACAATGGAGGCGATAGTAATAACGACAATGATGATGAAAGTGGTGGTGACATAATAGTGATATAATAGTGGTGATGGTGATGACATAATAGTAATAATGGTAATAACGATAGTGATGGTGATGCGATGGTAATAATGATGGTGATGATGACAGTAACATTATGGTGGTGGTGGCGATAACATAATGATAAATGACGATGACACAATGATAGTGACGGTGGTGACAATGATAATGATAGTGGCGATGGTGGCACAATAGTGATGGTGGTGGTAGCGATGACACAACAGTGGTGGTGGCGACGACATAATGACGATGACGGCGATGGTGGAGGAGGTGGCAATAATGGTGGTGGTGGTGATGACATCGATAATGGTGGTGGTGGTAGCGGTGACACAATGATGGTAGTGGTGATGACAACGATAGTAGTGGTGGTGGTAATAACAATGACACAATGATGGTGATGGCGGTGATATAATGACAGTGATAGTACCAGTAACATAATGGTTGTGGTGACGGTTACATAATGGTAACGGTGATGATGGTAATTGTGATGGTCGTGACAACAATGGTGGTGGTGATGGTGACGATGATACAATGGTAGTGGTGGCGATAATAATTGTGGTGACGACGACATAATGGTGGTGGTGGTAGTGGTGACGACAATGGTGGTGTGGTAATGATAGTATATTTGCCCATTATGAGAAATTGATAAAATCTTTACTGATTAACATTTTCAGCATTAAGTAATAAGTAAGTAACTTGCTACTTAAAATTTTACCCTATATTTATGAAGTGCTTAAAATATTAAATAGTATGAGTTTTAGGTTATCAAAGGGGTTTAATTTATTAAGTGCTTAAAGTATTCAATTTTAAAACTTAAGTCGTGTTATCAAATAGCCCACAACCCACTCTCTATTTTCTCTCTTTTAGTTATTTTAGTCGGTCAAACACTAAAAAGTAAAAACACTCTTCAACCTAGTGTCTATCTCACTCTCTATTTCCCATTTCACCCAAATGACTCTCCAAATGTGGAGAGCCATTTAGCCTCTCTAAATTCTCTCTCTATCTCTTTCTATATATATGTTATATTTTCTTTAAATTTTTGAAAGTTTGTGAAAGTTGAGTGAAATAGTTAACTAATAGAGAATGTGGTTGGAGTAAATTTGTAAAAGTGGCTATTTAACACCCTTTCTATTTCAGCCACCTGTTTAACACCCATCCATTTCAAGTAATAAAAACTAATTGGTCATATCAATTCAACCATATATTGTATAAATTTAACCACAAATCAATAACAATTTAATCACCTATTTAACCAAAAATCAATAGCAATTTAATAATTTTTTTGAATTGTACATTTATAAAAAACAGAACAACGGTTGAGATTAATTCAATCTTCATTAAATTTCATCTAATAGCATAAAATTTATCAAAAAATTTCTTTTTTGCTCCAAAAATATCGTCTTTTTTACATGGTTTTCAATGTCACATAACTCAATTAACACACTCCTCAATATCAGATTGCATCACTAATCCATACTTATTTCTCCTTTTCTCTCCCGTCCCTATTTTTTATTTTCTCTTTGTCAACTTTAAATTTAAATTGTATAATTAAAAAAATTTATTATTATTTAAAATATAAATAGGGTTAATTTCGACTGTAGTCCCCAAAATATTTCTTTTGTCTTATTTTGGTCCCTAACCTTCTAATTGCATCAAGTTGGTCCCTCATGTATTACATATGCACTTACCTAGTCTCCGCCGTTGACGCCATCCACAAAGCTGACGGTTCATAGTCATGTGCCATCCACATGACCCAAGTGAGGGACTTATATGACATTTATCCTCCATCCCTTTCCTGGAGGAAAACATTCCCACCAACTGGGTTATAAGTTATATCACCCACATTGCCACATTTAGCATACATATCAACTAATGTCGTAATAATATATATCTGAGATTCAAAACCCAACTTTATCAAATAGCCATGCAACTGCTTTCCTTCTACAGTAGCACCAACATCACTACAAGCATTGAGCACCCCAACAAGAGTGAATTCACTAGGCCTCATCCCAGAAAAATGCATATCCGAGAACATTTTCAATGCCTTCTCACCATTGCCACTTTGTGCATACCCAGTGATCATCGCAGACCACGTAATAGAGTTCTTCTCACTCGAAAGCTCAAACATTTTCAGCGAGTTATCTAAGTTTCCACACTTTGCATACAAGGTAACGACAGCATTTCCAACTGATAACAACCCATTTTTCACAGCAAGACAATGAATTTGCTTACCAATATCAATAAATTTTGGCAAGGTAAAAGCACTAAGAACACTAGTTACCACAAACTCATTCACATCTTCCTTTTCCTCCCACGTCATCATCCTAAAAACCTCCAAAGCATAACCAGCAAACCGATGCATAGCATACCTAGGAATCATCGTAGCCCAAGAAATCGAATTTCTCTCGGGCATTCTATCAAACACTTTACGCGCATCACAAACAAGGCTACATTTGCAATACATGTTGAACAAAGAACTATTCACAAATACATCAGAACAACAAGTTGTTTTGATGGCAAGTGAATGAGCTTGCTAGCCACAAAATGGGTCCATCAAAATCGACGCCGCAGAAAAAAAATCTGGCAAAAGTGGGGGCATCGGGGAAAGTATTCTCTTTCCTCATAAGCTTGAACAATTTCATGACTGAGGATGAAGATTTGGGAGTCCCCAACTGAGAGTAGCCATTGATGAGGCCGTTCCATGAGACTATGTCTTTAACTTCGGTTTCTTCGAATACAAGGTGGGCTTCGATTAAGTGGTGGGACTTGGCATAGAAGTTGACGAGGCTATTGGAGATGTATATTCATGACGAAGAATCGGTCTTGATGATTTGGGCATGGAGTGACTTGCCATTTGGGAGGTTTTTCTGGTGGGTGTATTGGAGGAGTTTGGCAAAGAAGGAACGAGTGGCTAGTGTCATCAACTCTACGAGTCCTTAGTTTCGGAGTTCATGAACGAGTCACAGACAAGAACTTTCCCTAGTTCAAACCTTGCAAGTAGAGGGAAGGAAACACAGGAATTTAGGGGAATGTTTCCTATGCTCTGTAACAGACAATGACTCATAGCCAGTTTTTTCTGAAAGTTGGCGGAAAGGTTTTCCTAAGGAAAGGGATGGAGGGTAAATGTCCCCTCACCTAGGTCACGCGGATGACACATGATTATAAACTGCAGCGGCAGGACTAGATAAGCGCATATGTAATATATAAAGAATTAATTTGACGCAATTAAAAGATTGAAGACTAAAATGAAACAAAAGAAATACTTTGGAGACCATAACTGTAATTAATCTATATAAATATTACATGATCAATGGTGGCTTTTTAATATCAAAGAGTGTCTTTGGGTCATTGCTAGTATACAAGTAATTANCGTCATCATCCTAAAAACCTCCAAAGCATAACCAGCAAACCGATGCATAGCATACCTAGGAATCATCGTAGCCCAAGAAATCGAATTTCTCTCGGGCATTCTATCAAACACTTTACGCGCATCACAAACAAGGCTACATTTGCAATACATGTTGAACAAAGAACTATTCACAAATACATCAGAACAACAAGTTGTTTTGATGGCAAGTGAATGAGCTTGCTAGCCACAAAATGGGTCCATCAAAATCGACGCCGCAGAAAAAAAATCTGGCAAAAGTGGGGGCATCGGGGAAAGTATTCTCTTTCCTCATAAGCTTGAACAATTTCATGACTGAGGATGAAGATTTGGGAGTCCCCAACTGAGAGTAGCCATTGATGAGGCCGTTCCATGAGACTATGTCTTTAACTTCGGTTTCTTCGAATACAAGGTGGGCTTCGATTAAGTGGTGGGACTTGGCATAGAAGTTGACGAGGCTATTGGAGATGTATATTCATGACGAAGAATCGGTCTTGATGATTTGGGCATGGAGTGACTTGCCATTTGGGAGGTTTTTCTGGTGGGTGTATTGGAGGAGTTTGGCAAAGAAGGAACGAGTGGCTAGTGTCATCAACTCTACGAGTCCTTAGTTTCGGAGTTCATGAACGAGTCACAGACAAGAACTTTCCCTAGTTCAAACCTTGCAAGTAGAGGGAAGGAAACACAGGAATTTAGGAGAATGTTTCCTATGCTCTGTAACAGACAAATGACTCATAGCCAGTTTTTTCTGAAAGTTGGCGGAAAGGTTTTCCTAAGGAAAGGGATGGAGGGTAAATGTCCCCTCACCTAGGTCACGCGGATGACACATGATTTATAAACTGCAACGGCAGGACTAGGTAAGGGCATATGTAATATATAAAGAATTAATTTGACGCAATTAAAAGATTGAGCACTAAAATGAAACAAAAGAAATATTTTGGAGACCATAACTGTAATTAATCTATATAAATATTACATGATCAATGATGGCTTTTTAATATCAAAGAGTGTCTTTGGGTCATTGCTAGTATACAAGTAATTAAGTATAAAAATAAGAATACTTAAGGACTACAAAGTAGAAAATTGTCACACAAAACAACATATTTATTTTCAAAAGTTTGAATTATTGATTAGGAAAGTAATAAAACATATTTATTTGTTGTTTTGGACTGCATTGTTATTTTTTTATTTTATTGAGAATAAAAATATAAAAATTTTAATCATTTAAAATGTCAATTAAAAGTTTAATATTTTTTTACGTACTAATTGTCATTCATCCCTTTTCTTCCAATGACGCATTAGGCGGTCCGATTATGATAAAATTTATTTTCAAATGTTTGAATTACTATTTGCACATTTTCAATAAATAAAAATTAGGTATAATAACAAAAAACTACTATTTTAATTCCTTAATTCAATCAAAGAAGGGATTGGTTCAAATATTAACTCAGGTTGGCCCATGGACTAACCAACAGTGGGAGAGCTGGTCCGGGCTTCGATTATTGATTAAACTTAATTTATTGATCTAATCATTCGTAATCATATGATTGTCAGTAAGCTCAAGTATTTGTTGAAATGCACAATTATATGGATTAAGTTAATAAATTAAGTCTAAATAACATTATTGCAAATTAATAAAATGGCATGCACAGTACATGGCTTCATGGAAACAACTATCTTTGAAGCTGAAGCTTGTCCCATACTTAAATAGGTTCATATGAGGTTTTTAAAATGGGGATTCTACCTTAGATTGATGAGGNTTTTTTTTTTTTTTTTTGTTTCGGACGTTGGCTTCAGCTGCTTTTCCGTGTCCTTTGCTTCCTTTTTTTTTTTCTTTTGCTTGATATTTTATCGATTTCTTGTTTTATTTTTTTTGAATCTTTGATTAAATTTTTTTAATTAAACCAAATAAAATTAAGTCTTATGTCCCAATCATTTATGGTTGACCATTTGAGTCCGCTTTCACCATTTTATTTCGATCATGCACTATACACTTATTTTAATTAAATATTTGCATATCTTTTCTTATTATTTTGTTCAATGTTAATTTAGGTATATCCTTATTTCTAGTACCATTAAGAGAGATTATCTAACTTTTTCGAATTGGGGCCTCTATTGAACATGACCAAACCATTTTAATCTATTTTCTCTAACTTATCCTCAATTGGAACAACTCCTACCATTTTTCTAATGCGGTCATTTCTTATTCTATCTTCTCTAATTTTTTCAGACATCCACCTTAACATTCTTATTTCTGCTATACTCATTTTGTCACTATGTTGTTTTCTAGTTGTCCAATATTCTGTCACATACAACATTACTGTCCTTATAGTTGTTCGATAAAACCTATCTTTTAATTTTATTGGTATCCTCCTATCACATAATATGTCAGAGGCTTTCCTCCACTTANGACTTTCCTCCACTTAAGTCAACCGGCGTTGATTCTATGAGTCTCATCATCTCCAATCTCTCCATCATTTTTAATGATTGATCCTGAATATCTAAATTGTTTACTCGTTGGTATTTTTTGATTTTCAATCATAACTTTTTCAAGATCATCTGCTTCTTTTATTACTAAAATTGTATTGCATATATTCAGTCTTACTGTTACTTATTTTAAACTCTTTTGACTTGAGTGTCTCTCTCTAAAATTTTAATTTATTGTTAATCCCCCTTCGAGTGTCATCTATTAATATAATATCATCTACAAATAACATACACTATGAGAAATCATCATGAATGTGCCTAGTGAGTTCATCCATAATTAGTGTGAATAAGTATGGACTTAGTGCCGATCTTTGGTGTAATCCCACCATAATTGAAAATTCTTTACTTTCTCCCACAAAAGACTTAATTGTAGTCATAACCCCTTCATACATGTCATTTATCACCTTAATATACTTACTCGTCACTCATTTTCTCTCAAGCACCCTCCATATTATATTTCTAGGTACTTTATCGTACGCCTTTTCTAGATTCATAAATAACATATGAAAATTTTTCTTCTTCTCTCTATACTTTTCTATGAGTGTCCTTAATAAATATATAGCCTCCATATATGATCTACCCGGCATAAACCCAAACTAATTTTCTGACACTATAGTCTCAACTCTTGGGCACCGTTCAATAACCCTTTCCCATAATTTTATGGTATGACTCATCAATTTTATCTCTCTATAATTATTACAATTTTGAATATCTCATTTATTTTTATAGATAGGTACTAAAATACTCTTTCTTCATTCATCGGACATTTTCTAGTAGCAATAATTCTATTGAATTTCATTAACCGCGACACCCCCCTCATTCTCTAAGCACTACTAAACCTCAATGGGAATCTCATTCGATCCTAAAGCCTCGCATAATTTCGTTTTCTTCAATGCAAACTCTACCTCAAAATTCTTTATTCTACAAAAAAAAGTTTCATGGATCCTACCATTTTTTATCTCTTCTAGGTTTCNAGAGGTACTAAAATACTCTTTCTTCATTCATCGGACATTTTCTAGTAGCAATAATTCTATTGAATTTCGTTAACCGCGACACCCCCTCATTCTCTAAGCACTACTAAACCTCAATGGGAATCTCATTCGATCCTAAAGCCTTGCATAATTTCGTTTTCTTCAATGCAAACTCTACCTCAAAATTCTATATTCTACAAAAAAAAGTTTCATGGATCCTACCATTTTTTATCTCTTCTAGGTTTCCTAAATGATTTTCGTTTAATAGTTTTTCAAAATAGTCTTTTCATTGATCATTTATTTCCTGATCTTTAACTAAAATCTTTGAATCATTACCCTTGATGCACTTAACTTGGTTAAAGTCTCTTGTTTTCCTTTCCCTAATTTTAGCTAGATTGTTGATGTCTTTTTCTTCCTCTTTACTATCTAGTTTTTTGTACAACTCGTCGTAGGCTTTTAACTTAGCGTCTCTAACTATATTTTTAACCTTCTTCTTAGCTAATTTATATCTTTAGAATTTCTCTCTATTCCTATCATTTTTCCATCTCTTAAAGGATTATTTCTTTACTTTAACTACCTCTTGTACGTTGTCATTCCACCACCAAGTTTCTTTTCTCACAAGCCCTTTATCCTTTGACTCCCCAAGAATCTATCTCGAAAATTTTCTAATGTCTAGTATTAGAGCCATATTTCAGAGATGGCAAACAGGAACTAGTTTGTTCAATGCCCAATTGAAAAATATGACGGGAGGTCAAGTTTTCAACATTGTCTAACACATATGAAATTGTTTTTCATGGTCCTGGATTTTTCAGATATTGTGATAAACGGGTACACAGATCCCGGAGATTTAACAACTCACACAAAAGCTCAAAAGGATGAATTCAGAAGTGATCGGAAGAAAGACAACAGAGCATTAATGAACATCTATAGGGCAATTGATTCGTCAATGTATGACAAGATTGCTCATGTTTCGATGGCAAAGGCGGCCTAGGATGTCTTGATCAATTGTTATATTGGACAAGATAGAGTAAAAAATGGTTCGGTTACAGACCCTATGCAGGCAATTCAATCTTCTTCAGATGAAAAAATCAGATAGTATATATAATTATTTTTCGCAGATGTTGATTATTGTCAATGAGATGAGAGCCAACGACGAGAATTTGAAGGATCTCCAGGTTATGGAGAAAATTCTTCAGACTTTGTCAAAGAGGTTCGAGTATA